TGGGTTTATTATAACCAAACAAGTCAGGAGAGTGAAATATTTACAAAATGACCCCCTAATTGGGTGTGGGATGGGTGGGGGCGGGGAAGAGAATGGTTTTCTTTGTTGTATTGGACCATGCTGCATTATGCATGCAGATGCAAGTCACATATATCTTCATAGCTCTCCTTCTTAAGTGCCTTAATCATAAGCGCATGCTCACACACCATTTCACTTTAGACATATATACCTGCTGGTATTTCTATGACCAGAAACCATTTATAGGCATTTTTCTACGATTCTGTATTACTGAACATTCCTATGGTTGTTGATTTGCACTGGATATAAGTTGGATTATCCCATATATTTCCACATACCTGCTCTGATCTGCATAACCAATATTTTTTATTGAAGAATGCCAAGTAGTCCAAACTACTCATTATCATCACTATTCTTTCACAATTTATAGATTTTCTATATTGTAAGAGAAACAATTAGAAAATCACATCCAGGGACCTACACTTTTACTGAATATCTTAAGATATTCAATATCAATAACATATGTGCCACTATGCTTAGCTTCATGTCATACCCAAATATATTTAGCCTTGTAGGGTATCTGACAAAAAAGAATCTTAAATAGAGTAAGCAATAAATGCACAAAATGCTGGTCTACTAATGTTTCTATTAATTATTATGTGCATTATATACGAAAACATGCCATATCTTAAAAAAAGCTATACATTTTCACTGCATTAAGATGGAATTACATTTGTCCCACCTGTCCTTGTGCACATGGGTGATCAATGCTTTGTACTCTTGGCCATGTGACCTGATCCTGAATAAATTTCTTGTTCTTGTTCTATTTTTATTGTTCTTTTAATACATAAGTTTTGAAGAAATCAGCTTTAGAATGGTATGCATTTAAAATATTGTATAGAATGAAATGAATGTTATTTCCACAGAAAACATCAGAATTTTGCTTAATTGTTGTGATTGAGCACACAGTACATGACATTGTTGTTCATTTTAACAATGGGAATACTACTCAAAAAATGTTTTTGTTTTGGAAGCTGCATCATAGGTATGACATACCTTTAGCCATGAGGAAGTTAATGGAATGATAGTCATGGAATATAAGACACTGTAGACTTGTGCTGCAATCTAAGAGCTCAATACTTCAGGCATATTCCTGTAACCTATTAAGATTGTTAGATAGGTTTAGGAAATGGCAAGCATTACTTCTTTTCATAATTACCTTTCCCATCTTCAGTTATAACTGCACACTTATAACTACATGTATATTATTCATGTTTTTCTTCAATGCTTTGTTCTTGACAAACAAGTGATAAAACCCCGAATATATAATATATTTTAATTCATTTTATCAAATTTAACAACCAAAATCACTGTCAGTCTATCAAACAAAACTTTTCAAGGTAAGAGCTTACTCCACAGTCCTTCTTAAATTTACTTGTCCAATAGTATACATATTAATCCAAATTCATACATTTAATACCTTAATGGGTCACACTTTAACCTTTCAACATATTGTATACATGGGGTTAAAATCAAGGAGACAACATTATCTGTTTACATGCATTACAAAATTTATGAAATTACCTAACCATATACATTTCCCATCCAAATTCATTCACAAGGTTACAAATTATTTCACAAATATTATTATTTCTCCCACAAAATGTCTATATGAGATAACCACCTTGCTCAAATAAACGAGTAGGTTCTCACACCTTTCATAGAGTCAGTTCCTCCTTGGAATTCTTGTTTCAACAATCTGGTGAGCAGCTGCAAGATCTGAACAGACAGCTACTCAAGTAGTAGCAATTAGGGAAGCATATGGTGACATGTCTGCACAGTCAGTGCTAACTCAAGCTGGTCTCTATTCAGTTGATTCAGCCATTAACAGACAGTTTTAACCAGATTCCACTTTTCACCAATTCAGTTCAAGCAAGTCTAGAAACTGAATAAAACACTCATATCCAAGATGATGGCAATTCATTGATTATAATCAACCTGTGATATACTAAATTATGGTACATAATATTATTATCTGTCAAATACTGGGTTTGCTTTCTGCAATACACATTACAATGTTTGCAACAAAAAGTGAGAAATACAACCCAGATATGACACTGTATAGTGTATGCCTGGACTCAATTGAAAACAATGAAATGTGACTGTTTTTATAGTACATCTACATAACATAGCATTCCAAGTGTAAGGAAAGCATCTTCTTTATTGGGGGAGGTAACATGTAAAGGGTGTGCATGTGTTTGGTGTAACAGATATGCTTTGTTATATACCAAAAATGTACTGTGCATGGTTGGCAGTATTAACATACTAGTAGGTAACATGTAATATATTCATCTCACCTTGATGTTATCAAGGACCATATAATACATTATATGGTCTCTGAGTTCTATCAATAACAAAACACTCTTAAATATTTCTATTTCAAGATTATATTAACAAAGTATTAAGAGTGATGTAAAAGAATTCCACACACATACACACAACTTTAGTACAGCTAATTAAAGCTCCTTTATATACATGAGACACCTAAACGGAAACTGATCACCCAATGGGAACAACATTTTGTGTTTGCTCTTAATTTTGCAGTTACTGTCATGTCAAAATGAATGTGTATTCCCAATTACCAATCACAGCTGCTGTAAAATGCCACCAAATTAGGCTGTGAAGACTGTTTTTTCCATTTCCTCCCTCAGATGCAAGACCCCCTCCCTCCTCTACCCATCCCAGTGTCAGTGTCTGACTGGTACCTAGTTGAGGGTTGATGGAATTAATTAAGAGTGTTAGAACATTTGACCTCTGGGTTTATAACCAAAGGTTTCAGAATACCTTTATCAGGTAATACAATGTTTCCTTCATGAACAGTTGTCAAGAGTACAGGCACTGATATAGAAATAACTTCAAATAAGAAGAAAAAGAAGAATGGCCATCTTCACTTACTGAATGCTAACACAAATAGGTAAGTTAATATTTCATTTTAAATTCTACCATATTTATGACCACTGACTGAACTGTTCTTCTGTAATATCAGCCTGCAATGATAAAAATACTGTAATTTACCATTTCTTGCAATTTTTCCAATTTATTTTTTGTGTTGGATTTGTTCCCCACTGTTATACATTCCTTGTGAAGGAAGTATTATTATCATGTGTATCATTGTTGTTATTTGTAATTATATATATGGATGGAATTTCAATGATACTTGTATGAAATTCTGTCAAGTCTATTTATCTGTTGGCATTATCCAGTTAAAAGGACAAAGGTGGGAAATGAAGATCTATGAGAAGGTTTGAGATTATCTCTTACAAATGTATACATATTTTCAAAAGGATGACCCCATGTGTTTTCAAGAATTTGATGTCTAATAGTAGTAACATGGGGCTTGAAGGGAATTTTGTTTTGACCCCTCAACTGATTTAGGAAATTACCACACTGTATAAAATATTCCAGTAGCTAAATGAATTGGAATCTTATGACCCTAAACTATACTTGAAGTGAATTGAAACATAAGAAATGTTACACTTGAAATATAAAGAAAAACACATATAAATTTATCAAGGAATTATGTGTTCCTAAACCTGATATAGTGTGATATGAAAAATGACCTTTCAGATACATTGATGATTTATTGAGGCGATTTAAAGAAACACTCATTAGAGCAAGAAATAATCATTACTGGTTTTCAAAACAGTATTAGAAAACTTTAGAAATGTCAATGAAGGCATGTTATCTAGTCTTTTAAAATATATACTATACCTTGGAGAAACAACACAGAAGATGGGATACACAGAAAACTGATATGACATAGGATACCAATGCAATGAAGGTGAGAGATGAAATATCCAAGGAGCATCTACAACAAAAGAAACTCAAATTAGGAATGATACACTACTGAACACAGAAGCACTCCTAATGAAACTGAAGCTAATAATAAGGTTCCTAGAGGTGAAGAACAATATCCAACGATTCATAAATTCTATGAACATATCCTAAGTCCCTCCTTACCCTCCTATCGACTTTACCCTTATCCATCCTGGTAAAATGTTTCTTATCAAGTAAGGGCACATTCTTCATCCATAAAGTCTTCCATGCTGAAAATAATCCATACATTTTCAGTCTCCACTCCTTTCACAGATTTCAAGTTTAGTGTTGTTCCCTCCACAGATATTTCTTCATGTGTGCTACTATTTTCCACTTAGACTCATGTTTCCTCCTTGGCATGAAAAATATTCTATGTCCATTTATTTCATGAAGTTTGGATTTCATTCTACCAGCGTTCAACTAGAAACCAATACAGGATTCCAGGCATTCTTTCTCCACAAGGTAAGTGGCTTGAGATCATGTCTCTTTCCCTACTCCATGTCCATTCCATTATTTCGTATTCCTTTCATACAACAAATCTGGGCTGTGTCTGCCATGTTATCCTCCATCTTTTCCTTCCATTTCTTCCTTCCTTCCACATGGTTTCCTACATGCCTGGTTCCATTCCATTTATTTCTTTCCATTCTTCATGTTTTCATCCATCCTTCATATATTCTTCCACCTCCCCCATGTCTTCGTGCAAGTGGTCTGTCTTTCTATTCCTCCGTGTTTCTCCTGTCGTGTATAATAGGGCTTGGTGTACATCCTTGTTTGGTGTGGTCCATTCTGAGTCCATATTCCATGTTCCGGTTCCTCCCACTCTTGTTCAGTCACTCCTCTTCCTTCTCCACTCACTCACACTCCTCCGGCTCACTCCGCTCCATCCACTCCAGTCCACTCGGCTCACTTTCGGTCCTCCATTCCACTCCACTGCACTGCCTCCACCTTCCTCCACCTGACTCACCCCTCTTCCACTCTGCTCCTCCTGGTCCTTCCCTCGGCTCCACTCCACTCGGACTCCACTGCACTGCTTTCACCCTCTGCCTCATTCACTCACTCTGCTCCAGTCCTCCACCACTGCACTACTCTCACTGCACCTCCACCTCATGTCTCACTCCTCCTCCACTCCACTGCTCTCCTGGACCCTCTTCCCTCGGCCTCAGGCTGCCCCTCCAGTCCCACTCCCCACTCGCTTCTCTCCACTAGACCCTCTTCCCTCATTCCGACTCCATGGCTCCGCTCCCACTCCACTCTCCCTGCACCCCTCCTCGCACTCACTCACTAGTCCACCCTCGCTTTCCCTGCACCTCTTCCTTCCTTCCAGTCACTCCCCTCACTCCAGCTTCCTCACTCCACCCTCTTCCCTCAGCCGACTCACTCCGGCTCAGTCACCCCCACTCCTTCACTCTCCTCGCCCTCTTCCTAACCAGAACACTCACTCGGCTCCACCCTCCAACCACTATGCTGCTCTCACTACACACCTCTTCCCTCAGCCGACTCCCTCCGGCTCCAGTCCTCCACCCACTACGGCTACTCTCACTACACCCTCTTCCCTCGCTCGAGCTCACTCTGCTCCACCCACTCCAGCCGCTATGCTGCTCTCACTGCACACCTCTTCCCTTGCTCGACTCACTCCGCTCCACGCTCCACCCACTACACTCTCTCACTGCACCCTCTTCCCTCGGCTCGACTCCTCCGGCTCCACCCACTGCACCCACTACACTACTCTCACTGCACCCTCTTCCCTCTCACTCGACTCACTCTGCTCCACCCACTCCAACCACTGTGCTACTCTCACTAGACCCTCTTCCCTCGCTCGACACCCTCCGCTCCAGTCACTCCCCCACTACGCTACTCTCACTACACCCTCTTCCCTCACACCACCCACTCCTCTCAAGTCAACTCCACTCAACTTCTCTCACTCACTCCTCCTCACTCCTCCCCAACCAATCCTCTCATTTCACTTGCACCACCCACTCCTCTCCACTCCGCTCTTGTTCAATCCACTCCTTGGCAGCTGCCATTCAAGTTATTCAAAGTACTTTCCATGGTTTTAAAAGCATGTTGGTGGCCATTTTCTTGAATGTTTTGATGTAGTTAGTTAATGCAAACATGGTACATTGATTATGTCTTTCTGTTTTTCTTCACAGGACAACACCACACCACACTTTGTACGAAGCAGTGAAAGAACCATGTCATTTTCTGATTGAAAAATTCAAGAACTTGAATTACAAGCATCTCAACAATGAAAGTTCAGAAATGGAGTCCATCCCAAGTGTTTGTGACTGTATTCAGTTTTGATACAGAGGGGCAGAAGGGGCAAGAAGGCTTATGTTAATATCTAACTCTGTAACTGGAAAAGTGTAAATGGAGGAATGACTGAAAATACGACTTTTAAAGCTTTGCAGATGCCATATCTTAATTATATTTCAAAGTTACCATGTGCAGATTTACATGTAAGAAATGGAAATACACTAAGCTGAAATTCTTAATTTTTAACTAATATTATTAATCACATGCATTTGACCAGAAATGGGATAATGCCTTTAAAGCTCCTACAGTTTATGGAATTTCAAGAAGTTTTCTTGGCTGATGATAGGAAACAGCATTTCAAACCTACAAGTGAAACTATCAATGTACTGGATCTATAATACAAATGTTCAGAGATTTTTAACTATTATTATGAATCACGTGCCTTTGACCAGAAGTGGGATAATGCCTTTAAAACCTACAGTTTAAGGAATTTCAAGAAGTTATCTTGGCTGATGATAGTAAATAGCATTTCCAAGTTACAAGTAAGTGAACTAAGGTCAACAATTCAAATTTTCAGAGATTTTTAACTATTATTATTAATCATATGCATTTGACCAGAAGTGGGATAATGCCTTTAAAACCTACAGTTTATGGAATTTCAAGAAGTTATCTTGGCTGATGATAGTAAATAGCATTTCAAACCTACAATCAAATTATGAATGTACTGGGTCAATAATTCTATTTTACAGAGATTTTTAACTATTATTATTAATCACATGCCTTTGACCAGAAGTGGGATAATGCCTTTAAAACCTACAGTTTATGGAATTTCAAAGAAGCTGTCTGGGCTGATGATAGTAAATAGCATTTCAAACCGACAAGTAAATTATTAATGTACTGGGTCAATAATTCAAATTTTTCAGAGATTTTTAACTATTATTATGAATCACGTGCCTTTGACCAGAAGTGGGATAATGCCTTTCAAAACCTACAGTTTATGGAATTTCAAGAAGTTATCTTGGCTGATGATAGTAAATAGCATTTCAAACTTACAAGTAAATTATTAATGTACTGGGTCAATAATTCAAATTATCAGTGATTTTTAACTATTATTATTAATCACATGCATTTGACCAGAAATGGGATAATGCCTTTAAAACCTACAGTTTATGGAATTTCAAGAGGTTATCTTGGCTGATGATAGTAAATAGCATTTCAAACTTACAAGTAAGTTATGAATGAACTGGGTCAATAATTCAAATTATCAGTGATTTTTAACTATTATTATTAATCACATGCATTTGACCAGAAATGGGATAATGCCTTTAAAACCTACAGTTTATGGAATTTCAAGAGGTTATCTTGGCTGATGATAGTAAATAGCATTTCAAACTTACAAGTAAGTTATGAATGAACTGGGTCAAAAATGCAAATTTTCAGAGATTTTTAACTATTATTATGAATCACGTGTATTTGACCAGAAATGGGATAATGTCTTTAAAACCTACAGTTTATTGAATTTCAAGAAGCTGTCTGGGCTGATGATATTGAATAGTATTTCAAACCTCTGAGCAAATTATGAATAAACTGGGTGTATAATTCTATTTTACAGAGATTTTTAACTATTATTATTAATCACGTGCCTTTGACCAGAAGTGGGATAATGCCTTTAAAACCTACAGTTTATGGAATTTCAAGAAGTTATCTTGGCTGATGATAGTAAATAGCATTTCAAACCTACAAGTAAATTATGAATGTACTGGGTCAATAATTCTAATTTTCAGAGATTTTTAACTATTATTATTAATCACATGCATTTGACCAGAAATGGGATAATGCCTTTAAAACCTACAGTTTATGGAATTTCAAGAAGTTATCTTGGCTGATGATAGTAAATAGCATTTCAAACCTACAAGTAAACTATTAATGTACTGGGTCAATAATTCAAATTATCAGTGATTTTTAACTATTATTATTAATCACATGCATTTGACCAGAAATGGGATAATGCCTTTAAAACCTACAGTTTATGGAATTTCAAGAAGCTGTCTGGGCTGATGATAGTAAATAGCATTCCAAACCTACAAGTAAGTTATGAATGAACTGGGTCAAAAATTCAAATTTTCAGAGATTTTTAACTATTATTATGAATCACATGTATTTGACCAGAAGTGGGATAATGCCTTTAAAACCTACAGTTTAAGGAATTTCAAGTAGTTTTCTTGGCTGATGATAGTAAATAGCATTCCAAACCGACAAGTAAATTATTAATGTACTGGGTCAATAATTCAAATTATCAGTGATTTTTAACTATTATTATTAATCACATGCATTTGACCAGAAATGGGATAATGCCTTTAAAACCTACAGTTTAAGGAATTTGAAGAAGTTATCTTGGCTGATGATAGTAAATAGCATTTCAAACCTACAAGTAAACTATTAATGTACTGGGTCAAAAAATCAAATTTTCAGAGATTTTTAACTATTATTATGAATCACATGTATTTGACCAGAAATGGGATAATGTCTTTAAAACCTACAGTTTATTGAATTTCAAGAAGCTGTCTGGGCTGATGATATTGAATAGTATTTCAAACCTCTGAGCAAATTATGAATAAACTGGGTGTATAATTCTATTTTACAGAGATTTTTAACTATTATTATGAATCACGTGCCTTTGACCAGAAGTGGGATAATGCCTTTAAAACCTACAGTTTATGGAATTTCAAGAGGTTATCTTGGCTGATGATAGTAAATAGCATTCCAAAGCTACAAGTAAATTATTAATGTACTGGGTCAACAATTCAAATTATCAGAGATTTTTAACTATTATTATTAATCACGTGCATTTGACCAGAAGTGGGATAATGCCTTTAAAACCTACAGTTTATGGAATTTCAAGAGGTTATCTTGGCTGATGATAGTAAATACCATTTCAACCTTACAAGTAAATTATTAATGTACTGGGTCTATAATTCTATTTTACAGAGATTTTTAACTATTATTATGAATCACGTGCATTTGACCAGAAATGGGATAATGCCTTTAAAACCTACAGTTTATGGAATTTGAAGAAGTTTTCTTGGCTGATGATAGGAAACAGCATTTCAAACCTACAAGTAAATTATCAATGTACTGGGTCTATAATACAAATGTTCAGAGATTTTTAACTATTATTATGAATCCGTGCCTTTGACCAGAAGTGGGATAATGCCTTTAAAACCTACAGTTTATGGAATTTCAAGAAGTTTTCTTGGCTGATGATAGGAAATAGCATTCCATACATACAAGTGAATTATTAATGGGTCAATAGTTTTTTAACTATTATTATTAATCACGTGCATTTGACCAGAAATGGGATAATGCCTTTAAAACCTACAGTTTAAGGAATTTCAAGAAGTTATCTTGGCTGATGATAGTAAATAGCATTTCAAACTTACAAGTAAATTATTAATGTGAACTAGGTCAATAATTCAAATTTTCAGAGATTTTTAACTATTATTAGTAATCATATGCATTTGACCAGAAGTGGGATAATGCCTTTAAAACCTACAGTTTATGGAATTTCAAGAAGCTGTCTGGGCTGATGATATAGATTAGCATTTACAAAACCTCTGATCAAATTATGAATGTTCTGGGTCTATAATTCTATTTTACAGAGATTTTTTTTAACTATTATTATTAATCACATGCCTTTGACCAGAAGTGGGATAATGCCTTTAAAACCTACAGTTTATGGAATTTCAAGAAGCTGTCTTGGCTGATGATAGTAAATAGCATTTCAAACCTACAAGTAAATTATTAATGTACTGGGTCAATAATTCAAATTTTCAGAGATTTTTAACTATTATTATTAATCACATGCATTTGACCAGAAATGGGATAATGCCTTTAAAACCTACAGTTTATGGAATTTCAAGAAGTTTTCTTGGCTGATGATAGTAAATAGCATTTCAAACTTACAAGTAAGTTATGAATGAACTGGGTCAAAATGCAAATTTTCAAAGAGATTTTAACTATTATTATGAATCACATGTATTTGACCAGAAATGGGATAATGCCTTTAAAACCTACAGTTTATTGAATTTCAAGAAGCTGTCTTGGCTGATGATATTGAATAGTATTTCAAACCTCTGAGCAAATTATGAATAAACTGGGTGTATAATTCTATTTTCCAAGATTTTTAACTATTATTATGAATCACGTGCCTTTGACCAGAAATGGGATAATGCCTTTAAAACCTACAGTTTATGGAATTTCAAGAGGTTATCTTGGCTGATGATAGTAAATAGCATTCCAAACCTACAAGTAAATTATTAATGTACTGGGTCAATAATTCAAATTTTCAGAGATTTTTAACTATTATTATTAATCACATGCATTTGACCAGAAATGGGATAATGCCTTTAAAACCTACAGTTTATGGAATTTCAAGAAGTTATCTTGGCTGATGATAGTAAATAGCATTTCAAACCTACAAGTAAATTATTAATGTACTGGGTCAATAATTCAAATTATCAGTGATTTTTAAC